ACCCCCTTCCCCTCCCCCTTTTCTGATGAAGGGTCTAGGCCCGAAACATCAGCCTCTCTGCTCCTATGATGCCAAATCTGGAGTCTTTTTTTGACTAGACAGAAAGTACATGGACACAACTCAATCATGAAAACCTGGAACCCAGCAAGGGTTATTGCAAAAAAAAACAGATCGAAACCAATAAGCAGATGAGAAAGAACAGGGTCTCTGTTCAACCTGTGTCACAGCTGATATTGCAGAAAAAGCTTATCAGCAATACTAGCAGCATCACTGACAAATGGGATATCCGTAATATCAAGTGTAACACGTACTGCAATAAGAGCAACACACACACCACTTCAGCAACACACGCGCACACACACAAATTTCAGTGTGCTGACTCACGACATACAAAATTATTGTATCCACAAAATGGACGCCCAGCATCCTACTACTAACTGTATACCATAAACAACATGTTGTTTAAAAATGAATCTATAAAAAAATCTGAAGACATTCCAAATTATAAATTTCATAATAAAAGTTGATTACAAATTTTCTTCAGTTTAGACAGTATGTGTAAAGAAATTAGTAAGTTATGTTGTACAAAAATGCATTTTTTGAGAAAAGAACAATGTTATATTGTTACGTTACTCCAAATAATTCAGAAACTATATTGTTATGCACGTGGATATATAGATATTCAGAATGCCACATCATCTACTATTATACTAGTCAGTGTATAAGAGCAATACTCTTGTCATTTGACCACACATGGAGAGATCCAAAAAATAAATATATTCATGAAAGCTCCAGTTTCTGTATCGAGTGTTTTTCAAGTTTCTGAGAACCACAAGACAAAAGATACCTCATCTTAGATCTACCTTTTTCTTCTTTCCTTTTCCGCACTACCAGCCTCTCCCCAACTCAATTCTGAAACCTACTCGCTCTACTAAAAATCGAAAGAGCTGCGGATGCTGTAAATCAGGAACAAAAACGGAAGTTGCTAGAAAAGCTCAGCAGGTCTGACAGCATCTGTGAAGAAAAAAATCATAGTTAACTTTTCTGAGGAAGGGTCACCAGACCCGAAACGTTAACTCTGATATTTTTCTTCGCAGATGCTGCCAGACTTGTTGAGCTTTTCCAGCAAATTCTATTTTTGTTCCTACTCCCTCTTCTGCCTTTCGATTTGCGGGATATCCATTGTCTCTAACATTTTCCAATTCTGACAACAGGTGATCAGGCTGAAACATTGATCTGAGGGCTGTTTTGGCCATATCTGAGTAATGTCAGGGAAACAGGGCTACATTTTTAAACCTTGTAAAGTTTTTGTCACCACACAGGGAACTGCAGGCATTCCTCTCCCAGATTCAGTGAGTGGTTAGAAATTCTGTACAGCTGAAGTGGTGCCACCCTGTGAGCTAAATCTACCCTCAGTCGCCAAATTGAGGAAACAATCCATTTTCCAGCATTACTTGCATTGACTATAAATAAATGAAACTAAAAATCTTCCATCAACTACATGGTTTGTAAATGTTAAGTCTCCATCAAGGCTGACAGATAAATTACTTGGACTTACAATGCTCCTTATTTAGGTCTTTTCTTTCGTAGAACTGAAGATATGTTCTTGGAGTCCAACCAAAATGATTGTTTGTCCAGTCCCATTGTGGCTTGTGTAGTGACACAGTAAGAAAGTTGGTAGCACAGAAATCGGTTCTCTTTCCTCTACAATATTTGAATCTCTGCCCATGTGTACTCAAAATGATTTTTATTATTTCCTTTCATGAACTCAAGCTTCTTTATAAAATGCGATGTGTTGTTACTGCGCCAAAATCTGCAATTCTGAGCACCTAGCTACAGTTATTAATTGTAAAGTGTTTTGTGGACTGCAAATGCCAGCAGTTTCCTAATGCTCATTAGTGTGATTATTGACAACAGTGGAGAATAAGCATCCAACGCAATGGCTTCACTGCTGCTAAAATGGTGGCATTAATAAGCAGTAGCTCTGCCAGTTTCTAAGACAGCAAAATCAGTACCTTGTTCTGAGGAGCAAAAAAAAGACTGATACTCCAATTGAGCCTTTACAAATATCGTTACTCTGTTTGCCTAGTTACCATTGATGAAAATCTATTACATCAATCCTTTTCTTTGCTCCCTGTTCCTTTTCCTGTTTTTTTTTGTCTCTCTGCCTTGTCGATGCTTTTGATGATGATTTTGCCATGCATTTTGTTATAACAATAGGATACTTGATCTTCCATGAATTGTTGCTTTCCTTTTAGTTATCAATTAGTTACTTGGATGGATGCTGCACTAAGTACTTTTCAGTTTGTGGATTTTATTTAAAGACAAAGATTGGTCTTTCCAGCTGTGTTTGAATTTGATACTTGCCCTGGTACACAGACATTATTTCATACACATTTGTACAGTATCCATCCACAGTGCTATTTTAACATTAAGATTCAGGTTTAATGCGACTACTGGATCTTTTGTCTCTAAAAGCATCAATGGAAGAATTCATTCACAGTACTAGCATCATGAAGAATAAAAAAAAAACAATTTTCACTTCCCTCTCCAAACTGTTTACCCAGCGGAAAATAAAATGCTTTCACATTTTCAGTTGTTGATATCCTCTTGTGCAATTAAGCACACAAAGTCTTCCCTGTTGTAGATTTTTCACTTTTAAGTAGGTTGGTATTTAATATACTACCAACAATTAGCAATATTCAGAAAATACACTAAAAATTATAAAATAATATTTTAATGTTAGTGGGGCCATTGATAAAATGATAATTTTTTTTGTCTCAGACACCTGAACCTAAAAAAAAATGAGTTAAAAATGGCAATTTTTATGCACAGGCTCTGCAAAATTAAAACACTTTAACTGAATTGAAAATGCATGACTTGAAAAGGATGACTTACTATAATTTTAATGAACTAACATCCTGCCATTCAACTTGTAAAGAAGTATCATTCCATTATTGGTCTTAATTTACCGAACACATCAGATTGTGGAACCCCTCAGAACCCCATTGCTGCATGTACTATTTTCCATGTGCATCTTGCAGCGAATGCAAACAGACTATTCGTTACTTTGTTCTTTCATTGGCACCATCTGGACTAAGACTACCAGAACTAATTTCATTTGTGACCAGCTGTAAAGGTGTATAATTTCAATTGGTAGCTTGTTTTGCCTTTCATTTATCAAACAAAATAGCTTAATGAGGCATGTCTGTCTGAATCACAAAATCATAAGTGACCCATTCACTTCTTTTGCTGACTTGCCCTACTTAACCATTGAAAATGAATATGACATGAGGTGTTTCAGCAGGAATATCATGCAGAGACCAGAAAATGCTTGTTGAATAGTAATGATCTTCAATTTGACAAATTAGGAATCACACGAGCATCAACATTTGAAATGCCGATTGCAATTTGCAGTAATCTGTACTTTATGGAGAAAATGAAAATTATTAATTTAACGTTTTCCTAAACACACTTCACATTATTTCATTGACAACTATAGAGACTTAAGATTTTTCAGGAGATGTAAAGGGCACTTACTGTAATCATCCCACCCAGGATTCCTGAATCTGGTTTTGGTGGTGCTTGAAGTTGTTCCATAGCCCATTTCTCAGTAATGGATGCAACACGTGGGTTATCCATATTTAGAAGGCGAAACCCTGTCATGTTGACACCACTGTACCGATAAGGTTCCAGGTTCAATGCAAACAGATCCTGTAGAGATAGACCATAAGATAAGAATTTTAATTAACAATTACATTCTACTTGATGAGAGACACATTTAAGATAAAATTGTGAGTGGGTGCCTCCCCATCTGACTGTGATTGGTTGGTAGCTCCCTGCTGGCAAGCTCCTTGATCCTAGGAAAATGTTGGCTTGTGAAATGCTTGGGTGGCATAAGATGTGGTGGATGTTCTCAAAAAAGAGTCAATGTCTGGGTCTCACCCGCTCCACAAGATTTTGCCTAGTATGACACTGGGCCACATAAGGAACTACTTAATCAGATAACTGAATCATTGGTCAAAAGTATCTCTAAGGAATAATTCAAACAGGAAAATCAAGACAGAAAGGAAGAGATGTGTAGGGAAGAAATTCTGGAGATGAGAATCTAAGCAATTCAAGAAACTGTCACCAACAATGGAGCAATTAAAATTGGGATGCACAAAAAGCCAGAGTTAGGTAAGTGCAAATATCTTGGAGGATTGTGGTCTTAGGGGAGATTGCAGAGATAGGAAGGTGTGAAATCCCGACAGGATTTGAAGAGGAGGATGCAAATTTTATAAACAAGGCAATACTTAAGTAAAAGCCAATGCAAGTCAGCAAACCAATGCTAATAGTTGAATAGGACATGATGTGAGGATACCTCAAACTTACAGAGAATGGAACACAGAAGGACAGTCAGGAATGCATCAGCATTGCCAAGTCTAGAGGTAAGAAAGGCCATGATGAAGACTTCAATAGCACATGAACTGAGATGTGACAGGTGATGGTAGGGAGGTGAAAATAAGTGATCTGGGTGATGACATTAGTTTCAATTTTGCATCTCTGAGGCAAATGAGTTGAATTTCCAATTTGCTGACACTTCTAGTAGTGTGTACAGTTCTGGTCATTACATTGCAGGTAGGGTGTGATCTGATGTGAGAGTATACAGCATGATTTACCAGAATGTTGAGGAATGAAAAACTTCAGCTATGAAGAAAGATCAGAGAGGTTAGAGTAATTTACTTTGGAATATTGAAGGCTAAAGTATTCTCTAATTAGAGAACCAGACAGTGTCGACTGTAAGGCTATTCAAATAAAGATGGCAGGCAGGATCTTGAAAGTGAGGCCATTAGGAGATCTTCAGAGTGGAGTGGTTTTCTGCTTTAGCAGTTAAGGGACAGAGAGAGTGCCTCCATGTTATGCTGCCCTCTCAGCAAATTTAGCATTTGAAATTAAAATTGGCAACAGTTGGCAGATCTCTTTGCCTGGAGGCCCTTTCAATGATGTTGCCAGGCTTCCAGATGCCAGCTGAAAAATTCCAGTTAGTCTCTGATAATTGACCTTTAAATTATTTTAACGAGTTACCTGCCACTTCTGAGTGAGCACAGCACAATTCTTGTACTAAATATGATATTCTCTTTCCTTCATTTCAATTATCTCTTTATGTAAAGATGGCATTTTCTATGGGGTTGCGATCTGTCCAAGTTATCAAAGATGGGTCAAATGGGTCAATGGCCAGTCATGCTAAGTTATTGTTACAACTTGCAACTTGTATAACCTGGCAGTAAAAGGATGGAACTGGAGCTGGCATTTATATACACATGATCTTTTATTTTGAGATGAATATTAGGTATCTAATCCAACAACCACGGCTTGTTCCTATATAGGCTGTTTTGATAAGAAACTGCATCAGCTGCCACAGTAGGCTGTATATACTGATACGACTGGTGAGAGGGGTGATCAGTTCCCTACTTTTAACCACCTCTTGGTCAACTGCAACTAAGCATGTAATTACCACACTTCAAGTAAGCTTAGTTAACCAGATGAAAAATGAAGGGAGGCCAACTCCAAGGTTTTCTTGCGTGAAAGAGTGAAGTTTTATACCTATCAAGTCTGAGCAAAATGAGAAAATGTGACTTCAAGCATGCAGAACACTGGTAATAAGCTTTTCAAAAAAAAGGGTAGGGAGAAGGCTATCTATCCAGATAAGAAGGTGGAGTCAGTTATAGCTTCCAATTTTTAGAGTTTTAAGATGCAAGAAAGAAACTGGAGTCCCGACTGTTCAGCTTTTCTCCTGTTTCTTCAGGAGTGGTGAAGGTTGCAGGTAATCTTGATTTTTTGATGAATGATCGCTTTTTCCAAGTTGCTTTTTCATGGAGTATTGACGTTTCAAGTTGAGCAAGAGACAAGTGAAGTGAATGTCTTCAGTTCTTGCTTCAATTCATTCTTTCTCATCTGCTGTTCAGAAACAGCTGTTATTTTGGTCCACTTGTATATTCCTAAGACTGCTTATTATTTTTCCAAGCTGAATACTCCATGGACAACCTTCTATATCAGTGTGTAACTTCCAGAAAGGTATGAATCAAACCAAGACAGACAAGTTTGCGTTTCAGTGCCCTTTTATAACAATGTTAATTTCATTTCAGACTGATCCTTGTTTATTGATGAATTTTAGTTCAACCTGGTCAGGTGATCACAGAAGATATTTTAATTCAGTATTTGTCTTTTTTAAAGCTTTTTTTTTGTTCCAGGTATTAAAATAACATGATTTGAAGGTGAATATTAATAGTCCAATCATTACCATTACCACGACACTACCTGAACATGATAAATGGACAAAAGTAACATTTCTCCTTTTTGTTTATTTTGAGTATAAATATGATTAATAGATATGAAATATTAATACAAAAACTTTGACAATGCACACATTCAATCTCTTCATCTTAACCTTTTGTAGATTGGCATTCAGACATGTTCACTAAACCTTGCCACATCTTCAAGTTTTAACTCTTCCCTGCCCAGTTCCATATGCTGGGTTCAGAATTTTTTTTTAGGAGTTTCATGGGTGGTGATCCGAGTTTGTTGCCTTTAGGTTGTCTAGTCTTGTTTCTTACACCTCACTCTCATTTAACTTTACATTAACCCAAGCTGATTGATCAAGATCTGAATTCTGATTCAGATTAGTTCTGATCTTAGGATCCACCAGTGAGTAGTTCTGTGGTTACCTTACTGGTATGTTTTTGGTGGGCTCTACTAGTGCTTAAGAAAGTGAAAAAGCAGGTATTGTCGTCTCTCGTGTTGGCACATTATGATCCTAAGCGACATGTAGTGTTGACATGCAATGCCTCCCCATACGGTACTGGAGTAGTGTTGGCTCACTGGTGGCCCAGAGAGGAACACCCGATAGCATATACTTCCCGAACTTTGGCAGATGCTGAACGAAAACGTGCCCAGATACAGAAAGAAGGTTTGACAGTCATTTTTGGTGTGAGAAAGTTCCACTAATACCTTTTACAGACATAAATTTGTAATAGTAAAGGACAACAAATCCTGCTAGGGCTACCTAAAGAGGATAGGGCCATTCTGCCCATAGCTTTAGGTCGAATTCAATGGTGGGCTCTTATTCTAAGGGAATACAATTACAACTTGAAACACCACCTGGGAGGCCAAGTGGCAAATGTGGATGCCTTGAGCTGACTCCCACTGGCAGATTCACCACTGGTGGTGCCTCCCCTCGAAGAGTCTGTTCTGGTTTTAAGCTTTCCAGTCACTGCTGACAATATCTGACAGTGGACATAAAAGAATTCGGTCCTGGCAAAACTAAAGTGGCTCATGGTGATGGCTGGGGAAGCAAAAGGGCCATCATAACCAGAATTGAAACCTTTCTGGACCTGGTGAGACCAGATCAACACAGAGGATGCCATATTATTATGGGGAGCAAGAGTGATTGTCCTGAGCAAAGCCCAATGCCAGATACTGGCGAAACTCCACCAGAATCATCCAGGGGTTTCCAAAATGAAGATGTTGGTGAGACGTTTATATATGGTCACCAGGATTGGATGCCAACAAAGCCACATTGGTGGGGAAGTGCCCAGACTACCAACAAGGAAAAAATTACTGTCAGCAGATCCCCCAGATGTTGTGGGAATGGCCTGGTAAACCCTGGACTCAGTTACACACTGACAATACCAGTCCTTTTATGGGGTCTGTGTTTTTAGTCATTGTGGACACCCATTCAAAGTGGTTGGAAGTACATAGGAGTTCATTTGTCAATCACGGGGACGACAATTGAAAAGTTGCAAGCATCTTTTGCAACATACAGACTCTAGAGGTGTTGGTCACAGACAACAGGCTATCATTTACCAGTGGGGAGTTGCAGTATTTTCTGAAGTGGAATGTCATTCGGCATGTAGGTACGGCTCCATATCATCCATCATTCAATATTCTGGCAGAAAGAGCAGTCCAAATGTTAAAGGCAGACTTAAGGAAACCGCCTACAGCTTCACTTGATACCAAACTGTCCTGGTTCTTTTTTTGGATTATCGAACCACCCCTCACACAATTAGAGAGATAGCTCCAACAGAGTTGCTAATGGGGAGAAGGCTCCACACTAGGTTAAATATGATCTTCCAGGACCTGGGGGCGGGGGGTGCGGGACAGCAGTGAAATGGCATCAGGAACGCCTAGCCTCAAAGAAATCTCCAAGAAAGGGATGGGCACAGCGGATGTCGCAGCCTTGACACCATTACTGCCTGAAGAAGGTGAGGTGTTTTGGCCAAGACACTCTGAACGCAAGAGGCAGGCTACAGTCGAGTACTCGCCACCAGTATCCAAGGCAGAGTCAGAAGAGCCGGTGAAAACGCCCCGGGAGAAGCTACAGGAAAAAAGAATGGGCCTACATCCCGGGACTTAGACAGGGAGGGATGTAGTGATTGGAACAATGTCAACCGGGTGGATCTCATAGAATAAGTACCCTAATTGGGGCTGTTAACCTGATCCAATCAGGGAGCCCGGCTGACAGATATAAACATGCGTGTAAGAGGTTCTGCTCACTCCAAAAGATGGCTGTGCTAGCTGGATCTATGTCATGTGTTATGCACATGTAAATAAAGGGTGACTTGGTGACGGGATACCGACCTTCATGGAGCAATTCAGGGAGAGCTGAGGTTATCTATACAGATAGGGAGATACAGCAGTTGCTGCTTAAATTTTGAATAAGATGCTGAGACAGG